GCAGGAATTAGAAGCATAAGAAACGACTAAGAATCTAAAGAAAATATTGGCAAATATAACGCCATATTGAGAAAATCTTTTTTTTTCCATAAATTTTAATATCTAATTTACCAGTTTGTGCTGTTTACATGATATAAGCTTACATATGTGTATATTATGAATATGACGAAAAACTCACGCAATTGCAGAAACAACAATAGCAGCAGGATTTATTATATTGATTGTTTTCTTTTTTCTTAAACCACATAAATATTTACTGTAAATTAAATACTGATTGACCTATAATCTGATTATAATATAACAAGAACGGCATCTATATATAGAATGCGTAACTTAACAGACGTATCACAATTTCCTTTAAAGGTATATTTTGTATTTTTGTTTAATATTTATTCAAAAATGTTCAATAAAATTATTTATACTTTAATTCTTCTTTTTAAATTAAAATTGTAAAGTCTTTTTAGTACGAATACTTTTATATAAATATCATTTTATGAATCAAGTAATTTTTTTTTTAAATAAGTCGAAATCTTTACATAATAAAATAACATGCTCTTTACTTGTATCACTTTATATTTACTCACTAATGGATTATAAAAATATTACATTCATGACACTATATTTTATTTACTAATTTTATAAATAATTATATAGAAGAAAATGCATTTAACTTAACATTAGAATTTATATTTTTCCTTACCTTTTGTATATAAAATAGAATTTATACTATATATAATATATATATATATTGATATAATAATATATATATAATATCAAATATCAGCGTTTTAACTTTGTGTACTTTGAAATTCTTATTATATTACAGGTAATTTTTGCTGTTCATTTATGGCTAGTCACTTGGTAAATTTATTACAAATATTATACGCTTCATAATATAATATTAATAATGTAAATTATTATTTAATTATGTAATAGGGCAATTCAAGGATGGTATTCACAATCAATGTTATTTTATAATACATTGTATTTTATATGTATTCTATGGGCGGTTCATAATACAGAATCTGATGAGCCAATACAATTCGTAACATATACATTTATTTATTGTTAAAAAATGATTTTTGAAAATATTTTTATTATAATTTTAATTTTATTTTATAGGCATTATTTATAAGTATAACATCGGAATTCTTTGACTTTATACATTTGTCAGTTAATTCTCCTTTTAGTGGAAGTAAGTTATATATTATTTTCTAAATTAAGCAAATTATTTTAGTGATAATTTTTATTAGTTTTGAGTTAGGATATTGGAAGTATATTAATTTTTGTTAAATTATTCTTAGGTGCATTCCAAAAATTCAGTGCAAGCATGATAATAATAAATATGATTATACGTGTAATAACAAGTTTCTATTTACTTCGATTGGGACAAGCTCGAGGTGGAAACCTTTCAATAATGATTACAAGTCCTGCTATGGGTGATTATACTACAATAATAAATAAATAATAACAAATATAAAATAAATATTGATTTCAATTCTAATAATTTGTAGGTCTTGGACATCAAGAATATGAAAATATATCCCATGCAGTTCCTCAAAATTCTGATTTCACTAACATTTAAAATTTCAATCTTTTAAATTATTAAAAATTTATTAATATTGCTTAATTCTTTAATTAAAAATAAGAATGAAATTTTATAAAATATATAAAAATTTAACATTTACAACAGTACTTGTTACTGTCAATATCTAACAGTATTTGTCAAAAATTACGACGTCAATATTCTTGTACTTATTATAGTTATATAAAAAAAATTACATTATAGTTTTTATACATGCTGTTTATTGAATTATTATAAAATTTAAGTAGCTCAAACGAAAAATTAAAATTTTTTAATTCAACAAAATAATATTGACTTTTTATGAATAGATTATTGTAAAACTATAATTAATAAAATTTTCTATATTTGAATGAATGCAAATAAAATATACATATTAATTGTAGCAACTTATAGAAATATTTTATATATTAAATTTGTATACTAAATTCATTAAAATATAATAAATATTTCATATAAATAATAAAAGCGCTGATCGTGTTTTTTTTTTAATGAAAAGTATTTTTATAACCCTAATAAAATGAAAATTTATGTATTATTCAAATAAAGGTATCACTGTAAGTTTCATAAATATAAATGGACTTACTGCCCAAAAAATATTTACGTACTTTAGTAATGAATAAAAAATTTTATTGATAATCGGAAATACTAGATGAATTATAATATTCAAAGAAAATTATTTATATACATCTAGGAAACAAAAGAGCTAAAACTAAACAGACTAACTTTTAAATTATCCGTCTTTTACATTCGTTAATTCCGATCTATTAAAGGTACGTAGATAATATAGGGATCTTTTATATCATTGCCATAACAACCGGTTGCCTTGCAATACTTGATGGCTCCGATAGGTGGTGCGTTCATCAATACGCTTCCGTCGCTTCAATGTTCGTTCGGAAAGATGGCGGCCAGCGATGACGAGCCGATGCATCTCTACGAGGTTTTTCAAAATTGCTTCAATAAGATCGCCAACAAGCAGCCCGGTGAGTGGAACTAGTGCAATTCTTGTGACATTAGTTATGCTATTAGGGTTAGTGGTTTGTCCCATCTTATTTTTGCGCGTTCTTACATCTTAGCGTTTGAAATAATGAGGGCGACGCATGCACGGTCCGTTATATTTTTTAATAGCATTCCGACATGCTTGGGACTGCGTTTTCACTTATATCGTTATCTCGACAGTTTACTTACAAATTTGTATATCTAATGATATAATCATTTTGTCTTTCATAATTGAGTGGCTTCCTCGTCTGTTTTATGTTTTGATTCATTATTTGTCAGTGCATTAGATGGTGCTGCCCTTGTAACAGTTCGATGTCTGTCGAAATGCGAACACGTTTTTACGTTTCGAGAGTGAAAATGTTAATCGATTGATGGTTTTTGTCTAAGGAATGAAATATCGACTGTCGGCATGGGAAAATCGCTTTTATAAGCTTTAATTCGATACCTCTAATCATAATGATTCAAAAATCATCTTAGTAATCTAATTCTATATTAGAAGGACTAGTAGAGACTATGTCTCCGTTCCTGAATTTCATTGTCGCTGAGGTTGTGAAATCTAACCTAACAAATGACTGATGGTTGGAAAAGTGCATTGGTTTTTAAACAGAAGCACTCTTAGTATAAAGTTTCTTTCAAATTTGAGCCTGACAATTGAACAAATACGGTTAATAATTAATAATGATCAATAGGTGATTCATTAATAATTTATTTATATTGCTATTTCAAATTATTGTATTATTCAAAGCACTTATTTTAATTATAAATTATATTTCTGATAATTTATATAAAAATAATTGACTCTTATAAAGATGAATTAGTGTGTATAAACGTTTTAACTATCTATAATGTTCTTTTACATGTCATAGAAATTTTAAAAAATTCTGTAACTATTTGTACAAAAAGAATAGGATAGCAAATAGCTAAAACTTGTTCATTGAATTATAATGTTACTCAATGTACAACTTGTGGTAGCAATTTAAAAAAATGCTACTCAATACTCTCTAGATGAATATAAGATAAATCTTTGGAATACTTTTGCAATTTTTACTTGCTTACCCGTTGATTTGATGTACATAGAGAGAGAAAAAAGTTTTTTTTAGTATAATTTTTTACATTTATTTTCACTTCTAATGTATTACAATATATTATTTTTATAGATATCTATTATTTTCATTTCTAAATTTTCTTAAGAAAAAATTTTAGATTTTTATTTCCATATATTCAATGCCTGAGTATTTAACATTGATTTGTCTGAACATATTGCTGAAATTTAGGGTACCTGTAGGAAACTCGTTTCGGTTGATACTACTCGCAAATTTCGTTAAATTGTAGCCATTATTATTTATTGTTTCATTTATTATATATACATCTACAATACTTCTTTTGTACAACTTGATTAGTTCAATTTATTCACAAAGCGTACAAATTGACATTGAATTCCTCGACTTTCCATATTAAAGTCTTTTTAAAGAGTTTTCACTCATTCTTGGCAAATGGAGGCAATTCAGGTTCCTTGAGGTGGATGAGAATACTCATACTTTATAAATTATATTAAATAAAAATGTAGAATAAAAAAGGCTAAAATAAGAAGGTGCAGGTGGTTTAATCACTGCTGGTAAGTACGCGTACCTATGTACGCAGGTGTATGATCAGCTGCACATCCGTATGTTGCGCGAATTCATGGTCTCCGATGTTCTTCTAGTCGATTACTGTATCATTATCTGTCACTTTTTTTCGAATGCCTCAAATTTGGTTCAGGTATTTTTTCTATTCTCCTTTCCAAACAAGTAATAAAAGATTAAAGTTTACTATGATGAAAACTGAAATATGTTCAGGTTGCAATAACTGAGATTACGTTCACTTATAGTGACTTTTTATGTCCTTACCTTCTTTTCATGTAGTTAAATTTATTATTTTGTTTAACGAATGAATTTAATTTCATATTTAATCTGCATTCTTTAAACTTTATATTTTAGACAATCGATTTCAAATAATACTTTTTATTATGATACACTGTATAAGCAATTTAATAGTTTTTGTTTAGCCAATATTCATTATGTTTTGTTTCATAAATTGATAATTCTTTTAAAGTGTTTACTGTACTTACTGCATTTTTCTCATTGATCTTAATAATGTATAAGTAGAGGTTAAATTATAAATTTTTTTTTGCTTAATTAATAATATTTATCGAAGTAACAATTTTTTGGTCCAATATATATATATAAATTTAATATTAAACTCTAAAGCTGCATAATATGCACGACTAATTACTAATGTGATTGTGAATGTATTATTATTATAATAGCAATAATATCTGCAGCTGTATCAGCTTCAATTTTAATGTATTTATAGACAATGTATATATAAACAATTAACTCGGTAATAAAAAATGTAGTTCATGAAACCATAGTTTAAGAAATATAGGAATTTATACAACAATATTTAATAAAAGCAGAAAATTGTATTTTTCTACAATCAAGGTTTTTATATTTAAATTTTATAAGAAATTGTTGCTATATAGGTATTGTAGATTGGGTTTTGAAATAGCAAATACAAATTACTTTATTGGAATTATCAATGGGAATAAAATTATAATGTAATTTGAATAAAATTATCTTTTGATATGTAGAAACATTTCGAGAATTATAAAACGGCATTGAATTTATTTTATTGTTATATTTTCCTTGGAATGTAAGATAAAGAATTCACGAAAATAATTTGATTGATAGGAAGCCTTTATTTTTAAATATTACTATATTACTTAAAATATTTTTGAATATTACTATAATATTTAAAATACTTCATTTATTTAAAATTTTTAATGAACCCATTTTGTATATATTTAATCTCATAATCAATGAAATGTTGCATGCATAAATACAATAAATAATATACATTTCTTTCGATATTACTTTGGTAAATAATACGCATGTTTCAAATTCTAGATACTTTTAAATTTTTCAAGCAAGTCTGATTTTGATAAATAGCCATGAACTCTTACTTGCATACTAATTTACAATAACGCACATACGTGTGTGGATATATAAATGCATTTTCATTTAGTACAAATACATCTCAATGTACACATCAAGGTCCAATAAGCATCTGTTGTTATCCCCTTTCAGCCTTTCGACCCTTCTCTATACTCTATAAAGTAACTATAAAGCCTGTCTTTCTACACGAGCCCTAGTTCTCTTGTCTTGTTGCCTGTTTTCTGAATCTTTCCAACAGTACCGATCTCTATTATATTTCTTCTTCGTTTACTTGTTCTCTTATGCAAATAAGAACAGCGATTTAGGATTTTTTCCCCTCTAATTACCCTTTTTTCTATCCAAATACAAAATATATTTAAGCTTAATTATTGAACCGAAAGAGAAAAGAGTGAAGAAGGCAAAAAGAAAGAATATTTACTTTTGAAGTTAGGTGTAAAACAGTCGAAGCTTATTTTTAAATTAATTGATTTTACTGTTACAATTCAATTATTTTATCTAAATTTTTTTTGTAGTACAAATTTATAGATGTTTTGTTATATTAAGATACATGTATTTTAATATTAATGTTTATTTGAATGTATGCTGAAAATTTGACACGCCATTATTTTAACTAAAGTAACATTTTTTGCATGTCTTTCTAAAATTACTTAGTTATATAATAAATAGAAATTAAAAATTAATTGGACTAAAATTTTCAAATGATGTAAGGAGTTAGGTACAATTATTTTTCTAACACTTTAATTATTGAGCATCTAGCGTCGAATAAAATTGAACATGAGATAAACAAAAGAAATTGACCTCGTATTAATAAACGAGGTTTGCAGCAACGATAAAACTTGCAAGTACGTAAATGTCTACGCTTCTAAATAGATATTCGAAATTGCTCGATTTGAGGTTCAATCTGCTCTCTTCCCCTTCTTTACCACGTTCCTGCATACACTGGCTCAATTACCGAAAAGGAGAGATAATGAAGCGAGGTTCCAGTAGTAGCATAAACTGTATATAGTTTTCTCGTTGGGAGAATCGTATTTAATTTTTACGTCTGAACTCAATGTA